CTCTTTCCCAAAGAGGCTGGACCATTTTCTATTCTCACCCACAATGTACGAGAAATTCGGTTTCTCCGTATCGTCGCCGGCTCCTGGCATCGTGCATATTTTGTCATTTCGGCTGCTCCGACGGGTCTGTATCTGAGAGGCTGGTGTCTTGTGTGGGTTCACTGCCTCTCCTAATGGTTAGCGACGGTGACCTCTTTTTATCTGTTTATTTGCCACCTGTACATCCTCTTCATTGAAATGTCTTTTCGTGTTATTTGCCCGTGGAAAAGTCGGATTATTTTGTTTGATGTTTTTTTCCGCTGTATATTAAGAGTTCTTCACTTATTCTAGATACGACTCCTTTGCCAGACGTAGTTTGCGGATTTTTTTTCTCTCTCGGTCTGCAGCCTCTCTGTTCATCTTCTTAATAGGCCTTTTCACAGAGGAAAAGTTTTTAATATAGATGAAGTGCAATTTATGGATTTTTTTTTCTTTTCTGAAACGTGCTCTTGGAGTAACGTCTGAGAACGCTCTATGAAGCCTGAGTTTCACAAGAGTCTCTCCTTCGTTCTTCTGAAAGCTTCATAACGTTCTTGACAGAGTCGTTTCATTTTTACCCCCAACCCCCTCTGGCAACCATCAGCTTATTCTCTGTACCCACGGGCTGTCGGTTGGTTTGTTTCGCTCTTCAGATGCCAAGTATAAGTGAGATCACATGGCGTTTGTCTTTCTCTGTCTGGCTTACTCCACTTGACATAATACTCTCTAGGTCCTTCCATGTCATCTGCGATGGTAAGATTTTATTCTTCTTCACGGCTCAGCGATGTTCCATGGTGTATATGTGCCGCCTCTTCTGTATCCGGCCACCTATCATCGATGGGCACTTAGGTTGCTTCCAGCCCTTGGCTATTTCTAGTGATGCTGCAGTAAGCGTAGGGGCGCATCGAGCTTTTCAAGTTAGTGTTTCGTTTTCTTTGGATAAATATCCAGAAGCGGGATGGCTGGAACATCAGGTAGTTCTGTTTTTAACTTTTCGAGGGAACTCCGGACTGTTTTCCACAGCGGCTGCCCCAGTTTGCAGTCCCACCAACAGCGCCCGAGGGGTCCCTGTTCTCCACATCCTCATCTACACTTGTCGTTGATTTACTGATGACGCCATCCTGACGGGTGTGAGGTGGCGCCTCATTGTGGCTTTAATGTGCATTTCTCTGATGATGCGTGACATTGAGCATCTTTTCATATGTCCGTTGGCCACGCGTATGTCTTCTTTGAAGAAATGCCTATTCAGGTCCTCTGCCCGTTTTTAAATTGAATTTTTTTTTTTTGGTGTTGAGTTGGTATATGAATTCTTTATGTGTTTTGCATATTAACCCTTTATCAGATGTATCGTTTGCAAAGACCTTCTCCCGTTCAGTAGGCTGTCTTTTCATTTTGTGGATGGTTTCCTTTGCTGTGCAAAAACTTTTTATTTAACATAGTTCCGTTTGTTTATTTTTTTCTTTTGTTTGCCTTGCTCGAGGAGACACATCCAAAAAGGTCTTGCTAAAACCGATGTCAGAAAGGTGACCGCTTGTGTTTTTTCTAGGAATTGTAAACACATTTAAGTCTTCAATCTATTTTGGGTTTATTCTTGTATAGGGTGTAAGAAGGTGGTCCCTTTTCATTCTGTTTTTTTTTTTTTTGCATGCATCTGTCCAGTTTTCCCAGCACCGTTTCTTGAAGAGACTGTCTTTTCCCCATTGTATATTCTTGCCTCCTTTTTCAGATGCTAATTGATCATATAAGCAGGGATTTATTTCTGGGCTCTCTCTTCTATGCCATGAATCCGTGTGTCTGTTTTCATGCCGGCGTCACGCTGCTTTAATTATTGTGGCTTTGTAGTATACTTTGATATCAGGGAGTATAATACCTCCCACTTTGTTCTTTCCCAAGATTTCTTTGGCTATTTGGAGTCTTTTGTGGTTCCACATAAATTTTAGGATTCTTTGCTCTAATTCTGAAAAGAATGCCATTGGTATTTCAGTGGATTACACTGAATCTGTTTAGTACTTTAGGTAGGAGGGACATTTTAATATTATTAATCTTCCCGATCCATGGGCAAGGTGTCGCCTTCCATTGATTTGTGTCTTCCTCAATTTCTTTCTTCAATGTCTGATAGTTTTCAGAGTACAGGTTTCTTACCTCTTCGGTTAAATTTATTCCTAGGTAGCTCACACTTTCTGATGCAATTGCAAATGGGGTTGTTTTCTTATTTTGTTCATTATCGGTGTACAGAAACGCAATGGATTTTTGTATATTGATTTTGTGTCCTGCAAATTTACTGAGGTCATTTCTTAGTTCTAATAGTTTTTTGGTGGAGTCTTTAGGGTTTTCTATCTATAGTAATCATGTCATCTGCAAATAATGAGCATTTTACTTCTTCCTTTCCAATCGGGATGCCTCCTATTTCTCTGTCCTTTCTGGGTGCCCCGGCTTGGACTGACGGCCACTGCAAGGACATTGCAGGCAGGCCAGGGCCCTGGCCTTCGCTAGGGAGGCGGGGGGATGGAAACGGTGGGGCTCACGGCCCCTTCGAACCCCAGAGAATTCTCCCGGTCCTCAGCCTTCTCTGCACAGCCTCCGTCTGGTCTGTTACAGAGAAGGTGGCCCGTGCAGAAGCGACCTGCCAGGGGCTCTACCTGCGGGGTAGGTGGGAAGCGTGGGAACCGGCGGAGCATGCGCTCTGGGCGCCTGGCGCAGGGCCTGAGGGGAGGCAGGTGCGGAGGGCGGCAGGTGCGCGGAGCGGCAGGTGCAGGGGAAGGTCACGCCCGGCGCTTTGCTCCTCCCCGGCCCCCAAATCAAAGGCTCCCGGCCACGCAGCGTGGCCGCCCACGGAGCTCCGGCAGGTAGGCCTCAGCCCCGGGCTCAGCCAGCCCCCCATCCACACCCAGCGCCCAGACCTGGAGGAACTTGCATAAAAGTGTGTTTGCGCCAACCCGGGGGCGTAGGCCGTGGAGCAGCCATCACATGCTCCCGAGAGGGACAGTTTGCAGTTTCTCTTAGGTGTCTGAGATTAAGAAGGGGGCGTAGGGAAGACCCGTCGGGGGTCTGACTCCGCCACGTCAGAGCTGTGCCAGCCGAGATGCACGACGGCCAAGGACAGGGCTGGGGGAGACTGTCGCCAGAGAAGGGAGCGGCCTGGGCGTGGCCCCCACCGTGACCCGCCCAGGCGGGGACTCGTGGTCAGACCTCCCTGTGGGGTCGCTCTCCATAGAACCCCCGTTTTTGGTCCCCAAGGGCCCCGAGCATCTCCGGCCTCCTCCCACCCGCCTCCGGCTCCCGGCGGTTGTCAGCAGCGGCGATGCGGCTGGTTCTCTCGCAGGCGGGTTGCTACCTGCACAGGTGTGTGCTTCGTCTCGCTTGTGGGTGGGGCGAGTGTCCCAGGCTGCTGCCAGCTTGGTCCTCCTGAAAAAGTTTTTTAATTTTACGTTTTACACTTTAATTCACTGTTGTGAGTTCACTTTTATATAAAATCAAGGTGTTCTTCGTGGATGCTGTTTTGCCGATGGATGTCCGGTTACCCCATCGCTGTTCGGAAAACACTAACCCTTCTCTGTGGAATTGCTTTTTGCATATTTGTCAAAAGTCAGTCGGATCACGGCCGTGGGCTCTTCCTGAGTTCCCGCCTTCGTTCCCTTCACTGGATTTTCTATTTTTGTGTCAATAGCCACAGTCCTGACTTCTATAGCTCTGTAGTAAGTCTCGAAATTGGGTCGAGCAATTAAACCTCTTCTTCCTCTTTTTCAAAATTACTTTAGTAATTCATTTGCTTTTCCGAGTGAATTTTAGAATACTCTTGTCTATATTGACCCACCTCCCCTCCCCCGTCCCCCCAAAAAGGCTTTCATTAAATCTGTAGATCACTCTGGGAAAGGACTGACACGTTCGCTGCGATGTCGTCCGGTTCAGTCGCAGTTCCTCACGTGCTCTGTCCTGAGTACATTTCGTTAGATCTGCGCGTGTCTCTCGCGTATCTGGAGCGGTTGCGAATGGCGCGGTGGTTTTAAATTTCTCCTTTCCCCGCGCTCATTGCTAATGCACAGAAACACCTTTGCTTTTTATATCTCGACGCCCGCTGAGTTGCTGAACGCACTTGTTGTCTTTAGGAAGTTTCGTGTGTTTATTTTTTGAGGATAGGTTCCTTGGGATTTTACCCCGTGGTGGCATCGGCAGAGGAAGGACGTCTCAGGGACCTCTCGTGTCCTTCTCTCGCTCGACGGCACGGGCCAGACCTGTGGTCCTCAGCGGGCTGCTGATGCTCCGAGGGCCCGTCGCGCCTTGTCCCAGGTCTGAGGGACGAAGCCTTCACGCTTTCGGCACGAGGGCCGACGTCAGCTGCAGGTGTTTCGCGTGTGTTCTTGATCAAGCTGCGGCGGCCCTGGCCACTATCCCTAGTTTGCTGAGACGATTAGTTTTTATCATGAATACGTGTTGAATTTTGCCAAATGCGTTTTCTGAATCAGTAGATCATGTGATCATGTGATTTTATTTTCAGCCTAGTAACATGGCGGGTTAGACTGATCTATTTTCAAATATGGACCCAGCCTTGTGTCCCTGAAATACACCTCACTCGGCCATCGTGGTTCATGTCTTTTATGTATTTATTTTTGTCTATATTTACCTGTATATATAGAGAGAATTTTTTTATATGTTCTTGAATTATATTCGGGTATCCATTATTTTAAAAGTCTAACTAAAAATTCAAAATCATGAGCTTCTAAATTGGTGTTTTCATAGAAGAGAGATATATCCATTCTATAGAGAGTATCTCCAAATAATGTACCTGATCATTTGGTTTGACACAGGAGTCACCTTTGTCAGTTGTACACACACTGAAATAGGTATTCTACGGACATTTATTTTATTTTATTTTATTTTTTATTTTATTTATTTTTATTTTTTTTTATTTTTTTCCCGATCTTTGTGCGGTTTCGGTCTCCGGTCACCCTGTAGGAGGCGGATCGGGCCGTGCTCCCTCGTCTTGTTTTCCGGGTAGAAGTTACGGCTCATTCTTCTTCGGCCATTTCCGAGAATTCTCAGTGATGCCCTCTGACCCCCGAGGTTGCTTTCCTTGGCGTTTTTCCGTTACAAATTCATTTCCTTCATAGTTAAAGGCCGTGCAAATGATCCGTTTCCCATTGGGGTAGGTTGTCACGGTTTGTGCTTTTACGGAATCGGCCCGTTTCTTTTAAACTGGAGATGTTTGTAGACTTGTCCGTGACATTTCTGGACCGTCCCCAGAAGGCCTGTAGGGCCCGAGCTGCGAGGCCCAGGGCGTTTCTGGGGTTGGTGATCCGCGTCTCGAGGTTTATTCCACTGACCTTTTTAAAGCATCAACTTCTGTTTCATCGCATTTCTCCATGGTTTTTCTGTTTCCGGTTTCACTCGATTTTGCCTTTATCATTTCCTTTGGTTTGGGTTTATTTTAGGCTTCTTCTTAGAGTCCTGATTTGAGATTTTCCTTTTCTGACATAAGCATCCAGTGTTCTACGTGGCCTTCTCCGCTCTGCTTGAGCTGCATCTCAGAGTTTGATGCTGTATTTTTATTTTCATTCAGTTCAAAGTGCTTTTTCATTTCCCTTGAGGATTTTTTCTTTCGCCCACGGGTTATTCGGCGGCGCGTGTCTAGTTTCCGCGCGTTTGGAAGTTTTCCTGTCGTGTTGCTGCTTTGCAGTTTGATTCCGTGGGGTCAGAGGACGCCCTCTGCATGCGTCCAGTCCTTTTAAATCTGTTGGCATTTGATTCATGGCCCCGGACGTGGTCCATGCGGGTGGGTGCCCCACGGGCAAAGACGTTTGCTCTGCCGTTCTGGGGGGTGTGGGTCCTGTCGTCTGAGGATGTTGTTGAGTCGTTCTATAGCTTTGCCGACGTTCTGTCTAGTTTTCCCATCTATACCGTCAAAAAAGTGGGTTCTAATCCAAGACCGAGATGAGGGTGGTGTGCTTGGCCAGGAGAGAGAGGCACACCGGGCCGCGCAGGCCCACTCCGTCGTCATGGTGACGGTGAGCAGCTCGGGGATGCAGCAGACTCTCTCCAGAGGGGGCTCCCAGGCCGCGGCTTGTCTCGGCTTCTCCACCGGGCCCCACCCACTGCCCGAGCCCCCTTCCCCTTGGACCCGCCCTGCCGCCCTCCCAGGCCGAGGGACGCTCGGTCTCCGGTGTCTGGACCTGCTCCAGTTCCGACGGACGCACACAGGTGCGGGGTGCACGTCCAGGGCAGGGCGGGAGGAGCCCTAAGTCCCACCGTGACACGGTGACAGACGGTCTGGACACAAAGAATGGGCTGCTGTGTCAGTTACCAGCGCATTCGCTGAGACAGAAACAACGGACCCGTCGCTGTCACCTCTAAATGGAATCGCAAAACTACATTCAAGTCCCTTCCCACACCAGCACAGGCTCTAAACCTGGCCCGGGAGAGCGGCCAGGCAGCGCGAGGGTCTCCCACAGCCGTGTCCCCGGGAGAGAGGACAGGCAGTGCCGGGGTCTCCCACCGCCATGTCCCCAGACCCTGCCAACTCAGCCGCTGTGTCAGGTTGCTTTGCCAAGGGACCTGCCTGTGACGGCTCGAGCCACTGTCACACAGATCAGTCTGATACCAAGGTTTCTGTTCTGCTGTCGGCGTTTCGTCACCCCGTAGTTACCATCCTGACCCCAAACACCCTACGGATTGTTTCTTACAGGTTTGCTGCGCCCTGCCGACCTGGCTGCTCTGCTGCCAATCCGCGTGTGGGGGGAAAATGCAGATTAAAAGCTGTGGCTTCCGAGAATACCGTGGTTGGGAGCGATTCTGAAGGAAATCTGTCCAGCCGGCCACAAACCCCCGAGAGCCCTTCACGCCGGTGCGGTCAGGGCCAGCCCCTGACCACCACTGTCCGCCAGTGTCCCCACAGCTTCGCCTCTCCCGGCACGTCGTGCGGGTGGGCCCGTCGGACACAGCGTGCTCAGGCCGGCTTCTCCCACTCGGCCGCGTGCATTGAAGGGCCCTCCGTGGCTTCTCATGGCTGGACCGTGCTCCCTTTTTCTTGATATTTATTGCTTTTCCCTCGTCGGATGGAGCACAGTGTCTCTATCCGTCACCTGCCGCAGGCGCCTGGGCTGCTCCCGCGTTTGGCAGCGTTAATGATGCCGCTGTAAACATCGTGGACACGTTTTTTTGTGTGGCTCGACGATTTTTTACTGATAAGTTTTGAATATTTTTAGTAATTGCAAACCCATGACCATCGACATCTCATCAAAATCTTGGCCGCTCCGAGCCTTCTCCGTAGATTGTGCCGGGTTCGCTCTCACTGCAGACGCTGAGTCGCTGCGTTTGCTCACACATTCCTCGGCCGCTCCACGTCCTGCCTGTCTACGCAGCACGAACCCAATCATTTCTTTTCATAGTTATTCCTCTTCGCCATCTCATGTCCTTAGATTACAGCTTCCGTTTCCGGGCGGCGCCTGTTTACGGTCACGATGCTCATGGTCTCTGCCCGTGGGACGGCGTCACAGTCACGTCTTCTCCCCCGTCTCCCGTTGCTGAGGATGATTGTTCCTCCGCGACCGTGACACGTATGTGTTACATACAAACATACTTGTGACGTGTATCTTATTTTTAAATGTATCACTGGTTATGGGCCTCGCTATACAATGATTTATGTATATGTGTTTATACATATATATGGGTTTTTTTTTGCGATTGCTGTTTACTTTAGTTAGGAAAAAAGGCGCGTGGGGTTATGTGCCGTCTACGAATTGCCGACGCTACACCCTTCATCCGGGTTCTTGGCTCCCTGGCTCGGAGTTGAATCACTGGCCGAGGTCGCGTGCTCTCCGCTTGAAGAAACAGGTCTGCTCGTCACTGTTCCCTCCGGTGTGTGCATCTCGGGACACGTCTTTAACCTCCGCGCCGAATGGTGGTTTCTTACGTCCCGCGCCGGGAT